TTAAAGGAGTTATTTTATAGTTTAGAAAAGGACATTGACATTGTTTTCTTAGCTTGATATAAGTACGGAAACATCAGTTTGTACTTGATATAAGTGTAGTGGTAGAGTCATGTGAAAGCTAGAGTAGTTTTTGCATTTTTATATATTCTAATAGGTCATCCTTTCAGTACATAATTACAGTTTTGATGGTTTTTTTCCCCTCAGGTATTGAAAAAACACCTGTTTCTACTCATACCCGGGGCAGTCATTTGAAGCGGCCAAAGATTGGAAAGAGATTTCAGGAATCTGAATTCACTGGTTCTCAAGGTGAAGATGAAAAAACTGCCCAGACTTCACCTGCAGCCTCAATAAATAAGTAAAGAATTCTTTCTTTTACTCTCATTGTGTTATTTATTCTCAGTTTCATACTATTAGTATTTAGTACTTAAGGTCGAGGTTATTGAATTCTTTGTGTAGCGAATGCCTTTGGTGTAGGGGTTTGTATTTGGATCTTTCTACAAGATTGATGGGTGTGCTTCCTAGTGGTGTTACCTTGATAGCAATTTCTGTAAGAGAGTGGAATGAACTCCCTGTTGATTCGGTCATGTATGAAAACTGGGGAGAATATTCTAGACATTATATGATCTCAAATGAGTGATTATCACCAATTTTTTTGAATTTTTTTTTTCTGCTTAGGCCTATATGTAGGTTTAAAAATTTTTTTTTGGTACTAGGGATAGAACTCAGGTCCTTGAGCTTGCCGCAGCAGGCGGCGAAACCACTGAGCTAAATCCCCGGCCCCGATTATCACCAATTTTGAATTTGACAGCATAGTTGTTAGTGCTGAAGCTGAGTCAATTTTTTTAAATCCTCATTTTTACTTTAAATGGATTCGTTTTACTTATAATGTATACATTAGTGATACTCATACATAATACAGTCAGTTCTTTCAGCAACTTAATATTCAGTTGACGGAACGCTTGGGTCAAGATTTATCTTGTTTTTCCTTGAGTCTTAAAGAAGGCAAGATTAAAAATTTTATAACAGCATTTCGCTTGTGCCCTAGTAGTTCTGACCATTCCTGACTCCACCATTTAGTCAGCTCATAGCTTTACCATTTTTGCTGTCAAATTACTGTACTCAGTCTGTGTAGAGAATTTAAATTTGTGTAATTAAGTGCATAAATATTTTAGTGAGCCGGGGATTTAGCTCAGTGGTTCCAGCGCCTGTCTTGCAAGCGCCAGGTTCCGAGTTTGATCCCTGGTACCAAAAACAAAAACAAAATAACTTTAATATTTTAGTGAGAAGTTTATAGTGTTAAAAGACTATAAATAAGTATTTAAAATTTAATTGTGAAATGAGTAATAAATGAGTTTAGATTACTGTGGTTTTCTTACTGAGCAGTACCTTTTTGAAAAGGGAATATAATAATTTAAATTGAACATACCTGAATTATTGTAGAATTTTGTTTGCATTTCATAAACAGAACAGTAATGTTAATACTAAATGCTTGAGCTGGGAGTGGTGGCACAGACCTATTATACCAGCACTCAGGAGGCTGAGGCAGGAGGATCACTGTGAGTTGGAGGCCAGCCTGAGGTACATAGCAATCCCCTGTCTGAAAAAACAAAAATGGAGGTGGGGGGTGCTAAATGCATGAATGCTTCCTCACACTATGAAAACCAAACCTCTTCTTTGCCCTTGAATAACTGGCTGCCTAGTGGTAAAGACAGACATGTACATACCTGTGAGCACTGCAGAGTAAATGTGATAGGGCAATGGTAGATGTGCAAAGAGGGGATGCAGAGGAGAAGAGGGATGCATCTAATTGAGGGAATGAAGAAATTTTAAATCTGGGGCCTGGATTTCAGAGATCAGTAGATACTCAATACAGACTTGGAGAGAAGACTTCCTAATCTAAGGGTCCCCCAGCTGTGGGCCACAAGCTCAGTCTGGCAGTGCTGGGTGATCAAACCCAAGGCCTTGTACATGCTGGGCAAGAGCTCTAACACTAAACTGCAATGCCAGCTATACATACAACTTGTTTTTGTTTGTTTAGGGTAGGAAAAATTTATTGAGAGAAAGAAAGTTTCTGACTAAGAGAGACAAAAGGGGGATCGGAAAGTGGGTTGCCCACCCACCCCACTTTTCAAAGATGTTTTATACAGCAAAGCCATGTGGTGAGGCAGGTACAAAGTGGCACAAAACTATAAGACTCAGTGGAAATTTACAAGGTGGGCATGAGGTGGGGCAAAACTATGACCAACCAATAAGATTACAAGTACAGTCACCCAGGTAATAATGATTCAATGGGGAAACAAGTTGGGTAGCGAGCATACAAGGAACCGAGCAAGGTTTTTCAATGGAAAGGGCTGGGTCAGGGATCTTTCTTGCAAGATGTTTGTCCCCCACTCAGGTGATTGATAGCTATTTAGAATATCATTCACTGCTATTCATCCTTGGGGGAAGCCCCTAGGTGTGGTAGTTTCTCTCCTTTTACAATGCTGGCCTTCAGTGAGTGTGTCTTGACTGTCCTCCATGTTGGCTCCTCCTGGGCTGGCCCTGTCTAACTGCCTACAAGATATCTATTTAACTTACCTGTTTGTAATATTTCCCACTCTGAAGAAGTACCCATAACTGCTGTGAGGGGGCAGAGGCAAAGACCGTTCTGGCTACTTCCGGCTGAAGAGGGCCGAAGTTGTAATCAGCAGTCAGAGTTACTCTACAGAGGGTCTATCAAAAGGCCTTGATAGGTGCCAGGCATTGTCATCTTGGGTAGGCTTATAGCTTGGAGTCTGGAGGAGACAAAGCCAAAGAAACAATTAAGAATACATGGGCCAAATTATAAGGTCAGCAGGATTTCGATAAATATAGCCAACAAGTATTTCCACCAGGAGGAACTAGTAATAGCCTCCCACAAAGAGGGTAAGGAGAAAGTCCAGGGGACTTAAGAATCCCAACGTAGAAGTTGTGTAGTTTAGCAATTACGAGCTGTTTACAAGGTCGATCTGGTTGATCCCAGTAAAAGAATTCTAGCACATTTGTCATTGATTCCATTTGTATGACTGCTTGGAGTTTGGCAGCCTCTAGGCAAGAATAAACAGAACTTTGAAGTAATTAGAGCATGTATAGCAAATCATGAGCACACTAGAATGGAAGGGCAGGTTGGGGAGAAAGTCACACTTAGAAATTGAAATAGTGATTGTAACCTGCTGGCTCTTAGATTCTTTCATTGATAAAGGTTATATATATCTGATACTTTGTCATAAATCTCTCTAGTTTTAGCTGTAAGAAGATAAGAGACAATTTGAAGAACAAATCTCGCTTAAGAAATTTAAAACTCTAGCTGAGCTCTTACAGATTTTACCATAGATTTTCCTAATGATTCATAACTGTGGTCAGCTACTAGTGTAGCTATAAACTGCCAGAAGGGGTCAGTGAGCCCCTTTTTATATCTAGCTTTATTACTGTGGCATTATTTTATACTTCTTTTGGTTATTCTTTTCTGCTGGGTGTTTAAGACCAAGTTAAAGTGAGACCCGTGTCAATCAGTATGAACTTCTTGCTATCTGTCAAGGTCAGTTAAGTCTCCTCAGGCATTACTTTGGAACCATGGATAGAGCCTCTCAGCTCCTCTGTCAGTGTCAGCTGTCAGGATGGTTCATGGCCTTGCTTGACCATGTTGCTTTTAGTGAAAGTGTGGGAGAATTTTCCCACTTGGTGACCCTCCTTTGGCACATGGTACGTTTTTCCTCTGGTGTCCAGCAATCTCCCTGCTCAGGAGGTCGGGTGACTTACCAAAGATGTAGGATCCTGTAGAAAAGGTTCCGTCATGTCCTGGATTCTTTGTTGACCTTGAGGGGCTAGGGCCAAAATATTGGCAGTCCTGTTAGCCCAGTTACCTTTTTAGTTTTGGTCTCCAAACTTTAGTTGTTGAACACCCAGAAGAGAAGATCAGTGACATTAGTAGTGCGGTAGGAGAAATGAGCTTAACTATTATAATTTTGTCTGGACATTAAGCACTTTGAAGTATAAAGCACAGTTAGAGGGACTATTTCTTACCAACCATGGTTGTTTTAGTAGTTGAATTCCTGCATACCACTTGTTTTTGTAAGTAAAATTTTTATTGTAAGCATCCATGCTTTTATTAGCTTTATCCATTTTCTATTATGGTTGAATTCACATTACAGTGGCAGAGTTGTATAGTTGAAACAGAGACTGTGGGTCTGTAAATCCTAAAGGAAAAGTTACTGAGCTGCAGTGTAGATGAGGGCTGTCCAGTAGAACTTTCTGAGATGATGGAAGTGTTTGTATATGCATCATGCAGAGTGCTAACCACTACTGTATCCATTGTGGCTAGTGTAACTGAAGAACTGAATTTTACAATTTCATTGAATTGTACTTAAATGTAAAATAGTGGTATGTCTCTTGTGGTTGTTGTATTAATGCAGATCTAGACTAAAGGAATATGAGCAAAGGAACAAAATTAGAAGGAATATTGAGTAGGATAATTGATATATAAAATACAGTAGTGCCTCAGTTCACAAACTTAATTCTTTCAGTGATTCTGATCACAGAGCGAATTGGATGAGAACCAAATCTAAGTGTTAGTATCTACCTAGCAGGAAATAAAAAGGTAGGGGTCTGGTTGGATTAGGTCTGGAGGAGAAGAGGTCTGCTTTATTCACAGAGGTTACAGAGAGCTTCTAAGAAACTTCAGAGCTGGCCTGTCACAAGTACAGATGTGTGTGTCAGGAAGACAGCTCTGAAAGCTTTGATGTCTGAAGATGAGGTGAGAAGACACTATAGTATTCCAGAGAGAATTTGGGCCTGAGGCAGAAGTACGAAAATGGCAGTACAAAGTCAGGGATATGTTTGAAAGGAGTTTGGAGGTAGAACTAAATTGTTATAATTTGTTGTCCATGGTGATGTTTTTGAGAACGAAAAGGATGTTATCAACAGGGCTGGGGTACAGTTCAGTGGTAGAGCACACATGTAGTGTGCATAAAGCATACTAAGCTGCGTTGGATCCCCAGCACCACGGACTAAAAAAATGAAACCAATATTTCTAAAACACTGGTATATACGTTCATTGCAATAAAAGAAGATTGACTAAGATATGAATAGAATAAAAATCAGGTCCAGTTTACATGATTGAGAAGGTGGTGTGATGCTAACTGAACTGAGGAACAAGATGGAAACAAGAACAAATTAGGATGAACAGATTGGCTTTTGACCTGCAAAACTTAAAATTGTTGATTGAATGACACTTAACTTGATTCCTGAAAATGGTAACTTTGTTTCCTGAAATTTTATATTGATACTTAGTAAAACAAGTAAGAATAGTTTTCTTTTGTTTTCTAGATTGGAGTCCACTGTGCATGCATCAGAGAGCTCAGAAGACTTCCTGGAAGAAAATCCAGAGCAGAGAGCAACTGATTTTGAGGATGAAAGGGATAAAAATGCACGCCCTACACCCGAAACGCAGCCACACCTGGAGAAGCAAGATGGTGAAAAAGTATGAAGTTGCTTTTAGATAAAGTGAATGGTAGTACCTAAGTTCTAAGTATCTTGATCAGTATATTGTTCAAAAAATATAAGGATAGATTTTAGAAATTGTGGTACTAGAAAGGCACACAGTATAAAGGTCACCCAGGTAGAAAACAAATACTTTATATTTCAGGTTCAGTTCATAAAAGTTGAGTTGTAACAAATATCAATAGAGATGTTAAAGTAGTAAGATCCCCAGTGCATTTAAAAGGTAAGTGTGTACATAAATCATGGGGGACCCAACTAAACTGCCTTCAGGTCCAAAAAACCCTCAATTATGTCCCTATTTTGGTTAGAAGGATAAGAATTAGTTATCCAGAAAACAAAAATTGACCAAAGGTGGTTTTACAGATTACAAATAAGTAAACTTAGTTTTGTTTGTTTTTTTAAATAGCAGAAAACAAATAGACAAACCCTTTCAACTAAGCAAACTGTTTATCTGGTTTGATTCCTAAAGCTCCTCAAATATTTACCTGTACCCTCATTTTTCTTCCTATTTCCCGTCCTTATCTTCTTTTTCTCTAATATCTTCAGTTCTTTTCACTCTTAGATTCCTTATTTCTTTGATATGTACATGAGTTTCTTAAAAAATCTTTTACCTATTTTCCCAGGTTTATACAGCTCGTGAATAGCTATACTATATTCTTATGTCACTCTAATTTAGCTTCTCCTTCCACTTCATGAAGTTGTATTTTAAAATGGCATTTTTTTCTTAGGGAAAATAAAAGTACATATAGAAAAATGTTGAAAAGTTAATATTTTTTAAAAACAGGATTTATATGCATCTAAATGTATATAGGAAAAAATATATAACATACATGTAAAATTCTCCTTAAGTATTAGACTATATGGTGAAATACTGTACATCTTATAACCGATTTCATTCATCCAGCAAGACATCAAGCACGTGTTCTTGTAGGACACAAATGACAGGGTCCATTTAAATGGCAATGCCTTTCCCTTACCTGGGTTGACTACTCTCCCTTCTTTTTTTTTTTCCCTATTAAGTTTATTGGTACATTTTAGATATAAAATACAGTTACATTCATCATTGGGATCTTATTACCATTACATGAGTATCTTGGTTCTTATTTTTTTCCCCTTCCTTTGCCCTCCCTTCACCCCCTCCACCCTTCCCTATTTGCAAAGACTTTGTTTCCATTTTTTTCCTTTTCTCATATTTCTACCTTTCCCTTTTTTCCTTTCCCCTACCCCTCCCACTTCCCCTGCTCCTTTATACATTTTTTAAATTACAATATCAAGATGTAGGAGACATTACCACAGATTTTACAGAATTTAAAAGGTTACAGAAAGCATATTACAGAAATCTTTTTTGAAATAAATTTGACAACTTCTAAGAAGTACCTTGGAAGACAAATTAATGAAACTAATTCTGGAGGAAATATAAAATTTGA